GAGTGTAGTGGGGGACAAGGTTTTAAAGACTGTCGAAGAATTAATTTCATTGATAAAATCCGTGATTGCTCAAAGCTTTGATGTAAATAATATCCATAATGAATTAGAAGCAATATATCGTCGCGAACACGAAATGATCGAGGAGTTCGGATTCCGGGCTAGTTATAATAATATTTTTGCAAATACATAATTTATCATAGGCAAATAAATCAGAATAAATAAATGTGAAACACATTACTTACTTTTTTCCAGACATTTGTGAATTGCTGCTCTCGCCTCCGTCTTGCGACGGCTTTCCCTTTCTTTCTTCTGCTTGTACCGACTTCTCCTCTACTTTTTTCTTCTTTTTCTTCCTCCTCAGTGGTTTCTATATCCATCTAGAAATAAATAATTTACATATTGTAAATTTGTAATTAATACTGGCAAGACACCGTACGCGTAACATTATACGCAAACTACTTACTTCTTCAACTGCTTTTTGCAAGCTTGTGATGTTGTCCATGGTCACTTTGCAATTGCTGGATCATCGATAGATGCCGGGGTTCAAAGTTCGTGTAATGCAAATAAAGTGACTGTATGCCTTCTTGGTGTCGTAACACAACTTTTTTTCTTCCCTTTTTTTTTTACCCCGATTGTTCGAGCGAAAGAAGATGGACACGAGAGGAGAGTTCGGATCGTTTTTAGAATAGGGTTCGCGTTGAAAGATTTCAAGGCAAGAGGAAGGATAGCAATTCAGCCAATGACACACTCGTTGAAATCTAATACACACGAAATTTATTAAATTTTGGTATTTAATATGGGTGGTTTATAAATTCTTTGTTTTTATGCCCTGAGCGTTTGAACGTGGCCCCGCGATACTAACGGCAAAATTCTTCGAAAAGCAAATCCGCTGATGGGAGATTGCGATATCCGCTTTAGACTTGATTTCTGTTATTATTACTCCGGAGAGTTGACAAAAACGATTTTGGAATTCGCTAGCTACCGATGTTTATATCCAGACGAGCGTTCGTCACCTCGCGTGGTAAGTATATATTCGGCCTTGACAAGGCCGCGGCAAGTGACACGCGAGATAAAAACCCCTTTTTTGACTTTAACATTTTGTTTGGAAGTTATTCTAGCTAGGACGCTGGTGCTCAACTTGCGGCGCACTATCGTTAGACTACGCTCTTTAGAGCGTGTGACACGGGAATGTTCAAAATATGATCAGTGGGTTTTTTAGCCACTCAATCACATTTGACATTCGCCACGCCACTGTGGCTATGAGCTAACAGTAAGAGAGGGAATGCACACTCGAGAATTGTGTGGGTTCCGGCCCCTCTGTAACTCACAACACGCAAGG